CCCCCCCCCCTCACCTCCATCTTCAACCTTTTGTTATAACCTGGCCACGGAGTTGCCGAAAATAGCCTCAATCACCACCCAAAACCGTGCTACCAGTCACGATTTTCGCCATATTTCCACCGCCGTCAGCCACCATTTCGATCGCGGACCACCACCAGTCCACTCCTCTCAATCAAGGGCATCCAGTACCACCATGGGTCATCTGCAATTTATATTTATTTGATTCGCTAGGTGTGGGGAAAATGCTTTTCGATTTTCTATTTTGATTAATAGGAGTTAAATAATGTTGTTGTCTGAATAGTGATTAATGGTTTGATTGGTTTGCAGTTGGAGAGTCTTCCTTCTATGACTGATATTGTGAAAAATAGGTGTACTCAAAGAATTGGCTCCAAAAATTGATCCGGATTGAATAATGTTTGTTTTGTTACCATCGACTGATTTCCTGAAATGAATTTGAGCTGTTCTAGGTGAATCTGTTTACATAGAAGGGTGTGGCAGTTGGGATTTTTTTGGTAACTATTTTCCTATTTTGTTTTGGAGAGTTGATGATATTTGATTTTATTCAAGATAGCAGTGATAGCTTGGAGGTGGGGCCCTGGGAGGTGGGAAAATCAAAGGGGAGGAAGAAGAGGAATGGTGATGTTGAGGTGGAGACTGGGTGTTGGATTAAGTTGACGTATATTGGTAACTGTATTTCTTGGTGAGGAATAAGAGGAATGGTGATGTTTTTAGTATCATGGCAATTTCTTTCGTAGTTTCTTGGTAAGCTATGCTGCTAAAATTCTATAATTGAGCTCCCATGAATATTGAATATTTTCAATCCTACAATTTGGAATATGCTGGGTGTTATTTAGTTTAGAAGATTTTATGCATAACTGCTAACTTCGTTTCTTACTTTCTCAAACTGTAAAAATTTATATCACTATGGTTATATTTGTTTTGGTCAATATTCTTTTCAAGATTTTGTACAAGAAATAGTTGGGTTAACTTTCTGAGATGACTATTATCCATGGCTGAGTTCAACTTGTTAAATGAAGTATTGAGGCATCCTTTTTATGCCTTCTTATGTTCTTTGAAGTGCATATTACTTGTTTATACAACTTTTTTTGTTTTCAACTAACCTGTAAAATATTTTCACATCAAAAAGTTCGTAGGTAGAGTAGCCATTCTGTAATTTTGGTGTTCAATTAGTGAGTGATATGATGTATAGCAATTTCATAGACCATAGAGTCCAAATGCTGATTTTGGAAATTGAAAGTAAGCTTTATGGGTATTTCAGCTAACTTAGTGCCCCCAGGCAAGGAGTGCCGTGACTTCATTTCTAGTTGGCTGATGGCTTTCTATATTATTTTATTATTAGAAAAGTAACACTTACATGAAAATCTGGTGTTTCATGCAATTGAAATAGAGAAGTAGGCCAACAGAAACATAAAAGAAGAAATTGGTAAAGTTTGTGGTCTTGGAAAGTCATTCTTGATGTTCAAGTATTTCTGACCAATGATGTTAAATTCTACTGAAAGCCAGATAGGAGATGTTAAAACACCAATTTTGTTTAATTGATGAGTAAATTTTTTTTTTTGACAGTGTGCTGATGAGAAGTGTAAGCTTTGCATATAATTTATACACCTGGTTTTACTCGCTCCAAGTTTTGAGAATGTAATTTAAATACCTGGTTTTGCTTGCTCCAAGTTTTGAGTCTTGCCTTTAGCCCTTTTTTGAGCTTCTGAATTTAATGAACATAGGATTCCCTATACTAGCATAATTCATTCTTTTTGAAATATATTGAAAAAGGCAGGAATGAATGGTGACCGGTGATCCACCCACTTGTTGTAAAACTTGAAGGGCTTTGGTGCCTTGATTCACACCACTATCAATAGCCAGATTGGAGTGCCAATAAAATGCTCGCGGAGAAGAGACAGGGAGGACATTTATAAGAGTTTCTCATGTGGAGATCATGGGATAACTGAAGTGGACTTAGGATTTGTTTAAGGCCCAATTTTTTGGAAAAATAGATTTTGTAATCAGTACTCCAGTTCCACGGAGATTGGAAGGATTCTAATTACAAGTGTTCTGTAATGTGGAAATTTTTTTGCTGATTTATGATATTCAAATTGTATAAATTTTTGTTTACCCTCGTGATACTTTTCTCTAATCTCGATTTCCTACATATATTTTGTATTTATATATTTCATTATATGGTAATATTTACAATGGAAGCAAAACAAAATACGAAATGTGTGCACCAGACAAACGAGTCTAAATTGTATTTGGCAAAATTGTATTTAGACGATCATGTCAACATCGTGTTTAGACGATCAAAATTGTATTTGACAAGAATTGTGAGAACGAACATGACCTCGATATGATTCAAAATATTTACTACCATGTCAACCTGAGATTAGTGCTCCCATTTTTTACAACTTGATTAGGTTTGGTTGTGATTTGATGCTACTTAATTCATGTCACAAGTTACGTATAAAAACAAAAACAAGGACTTGTCAAATTTAATTTAGATTGTATTTTTTATATATGGAAAAAATATTTTAAGATTCACCAATTTTATAATTTATATGTTATTTGATACTATATTA